AGTAACGTAGCAATGTAGAGGAGAGAGACGGGTGGCCCCGCCGCGGACCTGCCCCTGACGCCCTCACACCTTATACACTTAAATTGGCATCGCACACTTGCGCGCAGCATCCGATCCCTTCCAATGTAAGAGCGAGCCTTCATCTCTCAGAAGCTACCGCGTCGTTTCCTTCAAGATGATCTCGATCGCACGTTTCAAATATTTTTCAAAAATTCAAACGATTTTTACCAAAAAATCCTTCATGTTTATCTCAACGCTGCGACACGCTGCGACTGCTAAAATTAGAAAAAGAAGCAAAAGCGAAAGAGAGATCATTTTTAAACGTCCGGACAAAACGACAGGAAACGCGCGGCATCGCTCTCGAGAAGTCGAAACGCAACTTCCCTTCGAGGACGTGTGGGAGAGGTAGAGGCGGGTATCGTGCATAAGGAAGAGTGTCACGCTAAGCGTGAACAATCTTTAGTTACAGGTCACCAAGTCTCTACGTTTCTTGGTGACGAGAGAGGTCGGCGAGGTCTCGTCGTGGATCGCGCGCTTGGAAGCGCATCGCCGATGGCTCGTGCTTTAATCCTCCCAACTAAACTATTTACGGAATTTCGCGGATCGATTCTCGCGCCCTCGCAAACCAGAACCAGTAACAATAGCCGAAACTGCCGCAACTTCCACGTGCGGCATCCAATTTCGAGCCCGGCCGACATGATATTCGCACGCACGCAACGGGCACACACGCGCACACGCAAAACTCGGGCGGTCAGGCGGTCGTCGGGCAAATTGTAGGGGGCCTAGAGGAGGATTACCATGAACCACAAGCCGCTGCGTGTGCGATACCTCTGCGGCCACGTTACGGGCCACGCACGAGTAGTTGCCGTTGTGATCTGGAGATAAACTTTCAATCATCAGTATGCTATTGTACTGGTCCATATTGGTGACAGTGACACGCTCCGACGGCCCCATTGAGCGTCCATCCTTGAGCCAAGTGATGGACAGCGGCAGATCGCCTCTGGTCACCGAACATGTCAGGGTGGTGCGTTCGCCGAGGTGCAGGTCGCGATCTGCCGTGAACGGGCTAATTTTGGGGGGAACTGGAATAACAACAACGAGACAGCTCGTGAGCGCATGTTACGATATATAGACGGCGATCACGGTAACATGGCACGTGGCACGTCTCTGGCCTCCCTCCACACGCATTTCCTAAAAATTATCTATCACCCTCCCTAGCTTCGCGTAGTAACCTCGTCTTTGCTCTTCGCCCTTCGATCGATCGTGCGACGATAGCCCTTGAGTTTGTCTTCATAGCAACGTGAGTTATCTTCTCGTCGCAGCATCCATCGCTAGATTCATCGTTTCGGAAATGGTCCACCTGCGACAATTCGTTGTCATAGGAAATCAGAAATGAGGCCTTACCGATCACTGCGACATCTCCGGATCTCCTGGCGCTGTGACCTTGCTTGTTCCTCGCCCAGCAAGTGTACACCCCGGCATCGCCCTTCTTCTGTACGCTGCTGATCATCAGAGTACCATCCGGAAGCACCTTCTGACGCAGATCGTCCAGTAGTTCGCGATTGGCTCTCTCCCACTTGATCTCTTCGATCGGATATCCAGCCACCGGGCACTTTAAACGGAGAGTCTCCCCGGCAACGGCGGTCACTTTCGGAATCAGGCGTATGTAGGGAAGCCCTGGACGAGAAAAATTTCATATTTTCTCGTTTACGTACATATTTTCCTTGATGTTAAGATGAGTTTCGAGCTAACAAGAAGTTACGTTGGTCAACAATTAAATAACCGGCTAGAGAACATCGTTGCGCAATTTAATTTTCTAAATCAAATAAAAATATTATTTCCACGATATATTTTCTTAAGATATTTAAAATATTTAAATTTATGATATTTTCATCCTTTAATTTGTGATCATAAAATAAAATTAAATAACCGAATGTATTAGGTATTCATTTCGGGAAAAATATAATTATGTCACAATTTATAAATGATTAATGGTCATATATTAGTGATAAGTCATTAATCATTGATGCGACTACTCGATGTCAAAAAGCGAGAGTTGAGCTGCACCTCGATGATCAATTTTGGACGCGGCTACGCTGCGTGAAATTAATTATAATTTGTCTCACATCATACACGAATATAATTAGTAAGGTACGCACCATAAACATTCAATCGTGCAGCATGTGTCACCTTTCCCGCGCGATTTTCGGCAGTGCAGGAATATTCACCTCCGTCCTCCACCATGACATGGCTTATATTGACGTGGGATATGACGTCACCGTGCACCGTTACGTATTGACCAATGACGAACCTAGCGCAACAATCAACGAGCTTTTGGTTCGAAAAAGCAATTTGCAAAGTAATTCGCCGTGTTTGGCAAATTTGTAAAGGATAACTGAATATTCCATGCGATATCCGCGTACTTTGAAAAAAGAATTTTTTTTTTTCAACGCGCAATAGCGCACGGTTACAGAGTAATCACGTTTCCCCGTCGTAACAGCACCGTCGACGGGCAACGGTATCGTGAAACTATGTAATAAAAGTGCGATAAAGCTCAAGATGGCAAAATGATACGTGGACCTTTCACGAGAAGCGTTTCGCATTTCTATCTGTTATCGGTCTGACGCGCTAGACAGCTCTCAAATCGGCGTAATATCGTGAATCTCGGCGAGTGCGCGAATCCCCGGCGTTATCGTTGCGCGTTATCGTTTAGAATTTGTCACGTTCCATCTCGATCAGACGAGAATGAAACTACGGCCGCCGGAAACTACGTCCGGTATCGAGCGAAGGGGGAATACGAGCGGCGGGGTAGAAAGCCGGTGATAAAACGGGGGATACGGCGAGGTCCGCGAGATGGTGGATCCTTTATGCCGATCAGTCGTTAAACGACACGCTGGGGCTTGCGCATGTCACTCTTTCTGTGGCATCTTTCTGTACGCCATCCGCGCGATAAATATTCTCGTTTCCGCCTGGGATATTACACGCGGAATTACCCGCACGCGTATATACGATCGCGAATGGTACTCCGTCAGAAATTATAGTTCAATTACGATAGTGGGTATAAATAACGTTTAAGACGCCTCGTGCAATTTATGCTCCATAATTTATGCTCCATTTTTATTTCAGGTACATCAATCACGATAATTTTAACTCTCTGCTTTTCCGAGCTTTATTAATCATCTTAACAATATATATATGTACACGTGTCATACATACGGTATAACTAAAGAAATTAAAAATATGAGATCAAATTTATGTCATTACCGAGATATATGTAATTTGATGTCACGATGTACAAATGACATCGATATTTATCTTCCTTTCTTTCACGCCAGTAAATTACGAGATATCAAGTCCTGAATGGCGAACGCGCGGAATAACGGCAAAAATGTAAGCTATTTTGGGGAATTGGGGCAAGCTTACCTTCCATTAGTCGGTAAGGGAAAACCGTCCAACGCCCATGATACCTGAGGTGTAGGATTTCCTGCGGCGGAACATTTTAAGGACACGGCGGGTCCTGGCTGGAGAGTTTGCTCGATGAACGAGTACAGAAGCACGGGCGGCGCGTCTGGAACGTTAACGTGTAAGGTGAGCTTAATTACGCGAAGGAGAACAAATTTATGCCGCTAACTGTTACCGTTAATCAAAGTTGTTAGAACACGAAAATACCTGTGAGCGATCGTTTAAAGTAAACGAAGAAAAGGGAGAACCTTGTTTCCGCGATGCGGAATTAATGCAAATTCAATATCGCGAATAAACCAACTCCTTACTCTTTGAAAATTGTTACAAAGGCGCTCCCGCCCGTTTATACCTCAATAATTTCAGGTATCTCAAAATTTAGTTTGGAAAATGTTATTTTCACCCATCCATATTTATTCCTGTGTTATGAAAATGTGAATTACGGACATAATCTATGCGAGTACTGGAGATCCCAGGTAATAAAAACGTGAGTGTGCAACGGGAGTTAAACGAAGGGTTACGAGCGAGCCGTGGAAAGAAGAAGGCGGACGAGGAGGACGCCTGGATATCCTGAAAGCCGCCACGCCCAACGCACATTCGCGATGGAATATGAGAGACAATGGGCTCGCCGTCATGGAAGCGCCGCGCGGATATTTCTCTTTTCTTCGTCGATGTTACTTCGGAGCAACACGGAGAAAGTAAGACCGATATAGACGGAGCCTGTGAGAGAGAGCGCGAGAGAAGAGAATTCTACATGGATTTTCAGGGCATGAGCTCGTGGGATCGACCGCGTCGATTTTCCGACTGCGCCCGTAATTAAAAGTGTCGATTCCATCGTCATTAAAAAAAAAAGCTCCGTTTTCGCGTCGCGAAGAGGACGTGGCTCTGCCACCTCGAGGAAAGAAGGAGAAGGAAGGAAGGAAGGAGACAGTCTCGTCGTCGAAATGAATACCGGATTACTCGGTGCTCGTCGTGTTCGCGAATCCATGCGCAAATTGATGAATCCCGTCTCGACGATCATCAGCGCGCGTCCGTCGTAGTCGCGTCGCCGCAGCTTTTCCACTTCCGACCGATGAAATGGAATTTTAAGTGACGGTGATAGCGATCGACGGCGGCATTATCGATATCTTGAAGAAAGACCCTCGTTCAACAGGAGAAATATCTTTTATCGCTCTTTCATCGAACGTTATGTCTCGGAAAAAATTAATATCGTCGTTACAACGCTTATTGAAGAATGCTGGTCGATCGAAAAAAATGATGAAAGTTAGTAAATCGATACGTGTGATGCATTTGTACATGTATGATCATAATTCGGCATAAAAAAATCTAGATTTTTTTTTGAAATACAATGAGAATTCTACTGCGATAGCGTAATTGGATTTATATTTTTATCCTTCTCTAACATTCGACATTGTCGCGACTATCATGGCCCGACGAATATAAAAACGGCAAATTAAAGCACTCGGACGTTAGTTGAATCGGTAAAAACGCGTTCCGAGCGCATACGGCTTCGCTTGAAACACGAGGAATTCATTTTGAGTAATTTGGCAGTTCTGTTCGCTCGAGGAAATGACTTTTCTGTCGCCGCTTCTATTCTGCTGCGTACCATAGAATTCGCGCTTTTGCCCCGACGCTTGAAATTGTACCGGACGGAACGTTTTTATGTGCAGCGGCGATACACGATGTTCGTGAGGTTTATGTATTACCAGTATAAGAGAGAATAGAGAGCGAGAAATAGAGAAAAAGGAGAGAGAGAGAGAGAGAGAGGAGGAGAGAGAGAGGAGG